CTGTGGTTTTATCTAATTTTGAAAGATTTATGTCTATATCTGTGGTTTTATCTAATTTTGAAAGATTTATGTCTATATCTGTGGTTTTATCTAATTTTGAAAGATTTATGTCTATATCTGTGGTTTTATCTAATTTTGAAAGATTTATGTCTATATATCTGTGGTTTTATCTAATTTAGAAAGATTTATATCTATATCTGTGGTTTTATCTAATTTAGAAAGATTTATATCTATATCTGTGGTTTTATCTAATTTAGAAAGATTTATATCTATATCTGTGGTTTTATCTAATTTAGAAAGATTTATATCTATATCTGTGGTTTTATCTAATTTAGAAAGATTTATATCTATATATCTGTGGTTTTATCTAATTTAGAAAGATTTATATCTATATCTGTGGTTTTATCTAATTTAGAAAGATTTATGTCTATATCTGTGGTTTCTTAGGGGGACGATGTCAGTGACTAGTGTTCAATAAAACAGTATCAAGATATTTTATGGCTTGTAGTTTGGATTCTTCGTAACTTCCAAGTCAATATAGTTTATTTTTCTGAGTATTACATCATTCTTGGTATCATCTGTGCGGTCGGTGTTAAAGTTAAGTATAATAGGGCTAATACTGGATTTATTTTAAATTATGTCATAATAAACTTCAGTTACTATAACTTGTTTTTTTCGAGCAAAGCCACATTGGGCTATCTGCTGTGACCGTTGCGGGGAAACGAATCCCGAATTTTAGCGTTGTAAGTCCATAAACTTACCACAGATCCGCTTGGGACATTTAATTTGGTAAAGGTATTTTATTTATGGAATATTATTATTTGATACCTTTTAAGTAAGAAAAGAGTTCTTTAAAATGATACAGTAAAGTTAAAGAACAACAACTTAGTCCCAACTAATGGTAACAAGTTTTCCAGTTCTCGCCGATTCTTCACAGGCTGATGCGATTTTTGATGTGGCGTAAGTGTCATGTGGTCGAATTTCTACCTCAGATAAACCTGGAAGAAATATAAAACTAAAATTAAACCTGATCACCGATGCTTTGTAAAAATTCATAAACATTATACATCATTAACCTCTACCAGTAATTCTACTTCAGTAACTTTCGATCACGCGGAAGTCACGCTAGTTTCTAGAAGGATCATGACTTATCGAGGAACCTCGCGAATGTCCGAGTGTTTGCCAGGCGCCCTCTTTTTTAGTATATAAGCCCGGCAAATAAAGCCAGCGAGAGAGAGAGATATGCAGATAGATTGAAGAGATAGATAATTGAGTCAAGCGAACAGTAGGCACCGTGAGTAAAGTGTGTGAATCGCTGTGATTTATAGCGTGTGTGATAAAGGTTGTTAAGTTTAAAGTGACTGTGGAAATTCTGTGTACTAAAAAGTTGTGTCAAGAAAGAATAATTAACAAACGAGCAGATACGTAACAATATTTAGTTACTAATCACAAGGCACGAAATCCGACAAGCAAGCTAATAAGAGGCTTTAAAGTGAAAGAATAAAACCTATGAATGCCTGTTTTTGTTTGTTTTTTTTT